CCTCTGTAGTACAAATTAATTTTTCATTAATACTAATTTCATGATTGGTAACTTATTTGTCTTATTCTACTTCTTATTATATTGTTTTAAATAGAAATTTTAAAAAGCTTATAAACATACAATTATTGAATTTGACAGATGAAAATGATGCCATTGCAAAGGTAAAAAGAAAATGCCCCTGTAAATCACTTCACCTCATATTAGGAAGGCAAATTTTTGATCAGAATTTTTTATTATTGATCAGAAGGTGCTCCTTCATTTTTTTTAATTAGTAGGACAAGCGCTCTTGATTACAAGAAGAAAAACACTGCTCTTAAACTGGGTGTGTGACAGGTTTGGCCGAGGAAACATTTTCAGTCAAAAGATTTTTTTTTTTGCTTTAACCCCTGACTACTACAACAATTATTACAACTTTTGTTTAAAAGAATAATCACACAATACGCTATTTCTTCCATGTTTTAATTTTAATGGTAAACCCTTTGTTTGCCAAAAAATAAAGAGTTTAACTCTTTATCAGGGGAGGCAGTTTTTGTCAGAGCCCTTGTTGTTCTTAATTTTGACATTTTAATTTTTACACCAGACATATATATCGGTTCAAAATATCGGTTATCGGTCTACTTGATCTGTAATAATCGGTATCGGCATCGGCCCTGAAAAACACATATCGGTCGACCCCTAATGTGATGTGATGAAGGCAAACTCATAATGTCAGCACTCACTTCCCATGTTAATAAAAGTACATTTCCATAATGTACTTAAAGTGCTCTGTTTTCACGCACTAATGTTGTACTTAATATTTTGTGCTTGTAACTTCAGAACATCTAAGTGTGCTCAACTGTGATATTTTGGGACACCAAGAATATGAACTAATCTGTGAGCCTGGAGCACAAAAGCAGTCTTAAGTCGCTGGGGTATATTTGTAGCAATAGCCAGCAATACATTGTATGGGTCAAAATTATACATTTTTCTTTTATGCCAAAAATCATTAGGATATTAAGAAAAGATCATTTTCCATGAAAATATTTTGTAAACTTCCTACCGTAAATATATCAAAACTTAATTTTTGATTAGTAATATGCATTGCTAAGAACTTCATTTGGACAACTTTAAAGATGATTTTCTCAATATTTAGATTTTTTCAAATAGTTGTATCTCATCTAAATATTGTCCTATCATAATCCTATCAGCTTATTTATTCAGCTTTCAGATGATGTATACATCTCAATTTCACAAAATTTACCCTTATGACTGGTTTTGTGCTCCAGGGTCACATATGTGCTTTTAACACACTATCTCTGTATTTAAAAAATGTATTTAGTCACCACTTGTAGTACACTTGAGTGTACTAGTGTATGAAAGATGGTTCAAGTGTACGACAAGTGGTGACTAAATACATTTTTAAATACAGAGATAGTGTGTTAAACGTGCATTTTAGTTCATATTCATGGTGTCCCAAAATAGCACAGTTGAGTACACTTAGATGATCTTAAGGAGTACTAAAGAATCATTTTTAGTAGATTAAGCACAAAATTAGTGCGCAAAAATAGAGCACTTTAAGTACATTATATAAATGTACTTTTTTTTTAAACCTGGGTTCCATCGAGTTTCACCAGAGAATGTCAATGCTTTGCAGACAGGAAGCAGAAGTGAAATGGATTGATGTGAGTCTCTGAAGGGTTGTGTTCCTGCTCCAGATGTGAAGCGCCTCGCACCCAAACACACGCTGACGTCTCGCATTCCTCACAGAGCTGCTGTCAGAGGCTCGGATCACAGCGCTTCTGTTTACAGCTCAAACCAGCGCCTCGTGCTCGTCTGTGATTCAACCACAGCTGTTTTCCAGCTCTGTTTCCTGTGGGCGGGACTTCCTGTCCTGATCCCGTGATGAAATCTGCGCCGCACAATAGCGCTTTGTGTTGATGCTGAGTCGGATTGTGTTTTGATTGCCGTCCAGAGCTCCCGAATGCAAAACCCTTTCCGTTCAGGAAACGTGAGAGAAAGCTGACTCTCCAGGAGCTGAGAGCTGTTAATGCAGATTACAGTGGCATTGCATAAGCAGAAGTGAATGGAGCCTGTGTGTGTTTCCCAGCTCCACCTGTGCATGTAATAGAACACAAACACACAGGTGAAGCTCAGCGTCTCATACAGTGTTTGTGTGTTGTGTTCAGATCCAGACGTTCGCTGTGGAGGCGCCGTGTTCAGCGGTGGACGAGATGACCAGCGGAGTGGCCATGGCACAAGTCCTGCAGAAAATGTATGTGAAGCACTATTATGAGTGGGCCATATGATGCTAATGAAACAAACTGTGCTTTAAGGTTGTTTTTCTAATGCACAGCTACTACAGAGATTGAATAACCTAATGTCAAATAAAACAGCATAGTCTTCACTGTAAGAATTAAACTTGCTCTGTTTCTTATTAAAGCTACAAAAGTCCTTCAGTCGAGAGCAGTGAGTGACTTTTTTCTTTGATTAATATTAAGCTCACAGTCGCAGCAGGAATATTAGGCTGCTGTCACTTTAAGAGCCGCACGGATCCAATGTACTGTCACACACATATTTTCATTCTCAACTCTTTACGTTTATTACATAACCGATGAGGGATTACGTGAATAAGCACTGCATTTTAACACATCTTTTGCGTGTATCTGACAGTTTAGGCGCAGCTTGAGCTAAAGTTAACCCCGTCTCTGAGCGCATGCACAGAAATCCTCCTGACGCACAGCACAAGTTCTCTTTCGCTTTTAAAAACATGAATAAAGCTAATCAACTTTAATAAATCAAGCATGTCGCATTTTGCAAAAGTCACGTTACATGATTTTACTGATTTGCTTGTGAAATTGAATGGGGCGCAATCATCGTTTAATAATCGCGATTATTGTATTTTAATAATCATTGGAGATGGAAATCGAAACTGTATTTTGATTAATTGCACAGCTCTATGAAGCACACACAACATAGTCTGTCAGTTTGTTCTGTTTCTTCATGTGACTCCAGACAGACTGATGATGATCAGATCAGATCTCTGTGTGCAGCACTAACATATATCTCACTGCATTATTAGATACAATCATATCTCTCTCTCTCTCTCTCTCTCTCTCTCTCAGTGATGGCATGTATTTCACTGACGCGTGGATCAGTCGTATTAAACCTGATGTTGGAGACAACTGGAGGTTAAAGGTATGCATCCGCTCTCAGTCACTCTTGTGTTCGGTTCACACGTCTTACAGGGTTTTTCAATTTTCTCTTTTTTTTTTTTTTTTCAGATCAGCAATTTAAAGAAAATATTGAAAGGCATTCTGGATTACAACCATGAGGTGAGACGCATCTGTCTGTGTGATACTAAAATGACACATTTCTGTTGTTATATGTGACAGTCACGATTCTTTCTCTTGCATTGACCTGTGACCTCTCTGTCCGCTGCCATTGGTTCTGCAGGTGTTGGGGCAGCAGATCAACTAACATATATCTCACTGCGTTATTAGATACAATCATATCTCTCTCTCTCTCTCTCTCTCTCTCTCTCAGTGATGGCATGTATTTCACTGACGCGTGGATCAGTCGTATTAAACCTGATGTTGGAGACAACTGGAGGTTAAAGGTATGCATCCGCTCTCAGTCACTCTTGTGTTCGGTTCACACGTCTTACAGGGTTTTTCAATTTTCTCTTTTTTTTTTTTTTTTCAGATCAGCAATTTAAAGAAAATATTGAAAGGCATTCTGGATTACAACCATGAGGTGAGACGCATCTGTCTGTGTGATACTAAAATGACACATTTCTGTTGTTATATGTGACAGTCACGATTCTTTCTCTTGCATTGACCTGTGACCTCTCTGTCCGCTGCCATTGGTTCTGCAGGTGTTGGGGCAGCAGATCAATGACTTCACTCTTCCAGACATCAGTCTCATCGCAGAGCATTCAGACGCAGCAGAACTGGGCCGAATGTTGCAGCTCATCCTGGGCTGCGCTGTCAACTGCGAACAGAAGCAGGGTGTGTGTGTGTGTGTGTGTGCGTGTGTGTGTGAGATATAGATGAAGTGAGACGGATTTAGGCAGCTATTCTCCAAGCAACACTCAGCGGTGTTTTGTTACTGAATGATTCAGCGTTTTGAACAAATCAGTTGAATCAATGACTCAATGACTCCAATTAAATGACTTACCGCCACCTGCTGGTGATTTAGTATGTTTAAAATTATGCATCCCCCCCAACTTTTGTGATTTGTATACTCAAAAATGTATTTTAAACATTTATTTGTAAATTATTTAATTTGACTGGTTACAGCCCTATAGTGTAGGCTATACTAAGTTTATTTGTCAATTGTAAGAATTTGACACGACTGGTGATGCATACATTTAAAAATGTATAACAATAGTCCCTAATAAAGGTGAATAAGTCCTAGGGTAAATATCAAAAATATTCAGACCTAAGTATGTAAAAGCTGATAGAACACTGATGAAAATATTGCTTTAGAATAAATTTACACCACCAAAAACCTCAGTGATGCAGTGCTTTTGTATGAAAAGTTCACTGTATATCATAATAATAAATAGCAATGATGGTGACAATATTTTGTTTTCTTGTTTACATTAAACACATTAAATATTGCATATATGTATGTAATATAATGTGTATTTCCATCACAGGTTTAGGTGGTATTAAATTTAACTTGTTCATATCAGTAGAAACCCTGGAAGCACACAAAGACAAACATTGCTCCTGAGAGATTGAGTCAGAGTGAATCAATTATCAGATGGTCTCTGGATTAAAATGTTCAGTTATATCTGGTCACCTCAAAGCTCCCCAATATGATTCAGAATTCAGCTGTTAGTAATGATAGCGTAACGCATTAGGAGTGGTCAGTGGGGTCTTTAGGGGCAGTTGTTGGCGTTAGATGTGATAGGGTCAGTTCTGATATGTTATGCCACTTCATGGATGTCATTGTGTGATGTTGTTTGCAGAATATATCCAGACTATCATGATGATGGAGGAGTCTGTGCAGCACGTGGTCATGACGGCCATCCAAGAGGTCAGTCAGCGTCTAGAAACTCTGCTCAAGTGCACCGAGGGCAGAAGATGCTTTAAACACAAACGGTGCTCACACCAGATGATGATTTAATTTAGTTAATCGAAGTTAATTGATACAGAAAATCTATTTATGATTTGAAAATCTATCATTTTACAGCTTAAAGTGCCTAAAACTTTTAACAGTTCTGTAGCTTTGCAGGAGGTTTCTTGAAGCGTCTCGGAGACACAGTTCTTCTGGATTGAGTCTGTCTCAGTTTGTTCTGTTTCTTCATGTGACTCCAGACAGACTGATGATGATCAGATCACATCTCTGTGTGCAGCACTAACATATATCTCACTGCATTATTACAATTAATGGCACAATGAATGTTTGGAAATGTAAACTGATATTTCCTCCTGACACACTCCAGCAAAAGATAGAAATAACTGACTTTCTAGCTGCTGGAAATACTAGTGTTCTGATTATTTTGGCCAGCAGTGTGTGTTGTAGACTGGTGTTAATGTGTGTGTTGTTCCCGCAGCTGATGAGTAAAGAGTCGCCTGTGTCCTCCGGAAGCGACTCGTTCGTTGATCTGGACCGACAGGTAGTTTCTGCTTCACAGGAATCTGGAGCACAGTTAATAAATGCAGGGCTGGGTTTGTGTGACGTGTGTTTTCCTCTCGCTCAGCTGAAGAAGACTGTGGAGGATCTAAACGACGCTTTGGCCACTAAAGAGGAGATCGCTCAGAGATGTCACGAGCTGGACATGCAGGTACGGACGCGTCTCGAGTCACGCGTGTCTGGGGCGTATCACAGAAAGATCCTAACTTCTTAAGATAAAATCTTATCTTACCTGTTTGGTAACCATGGTCATTTCAGTTAGGACAACAAAAGCTATTACAGAACAGCATTTCCTAAGTGCATTATCTGATCTTAACTACAGATAGGAAGGGGGTATTACAGAAACCTCCTAAAATCTGTCTTAACTTTAGGGCAATCCCACAGCTGTCCTAACTTCTAAATTATTTTAAAGCTAATGGAACAAACTGTCCAACCGTTTTTTCTTCACAGACTCAGCTGTACGGTTAATGCTCAACTCTTGCCCGCTCCCCGTCTTTCTCTTCGTGAGTGAGCGAAGGTGAAAACTTACCAAATAGTATCGGCTTTGCCTTTTCTACCGAACTTATCAAAGTTTAAATTTCCGCGGCACTGAAATGAAAAGCTCGGCGGTTTTGTTTATCCATTGTTTACCTCATTAGCAGCTTGTGGTTGCTTGGTAACAGACCTGAGAGTGGATTGTCGAACTTGATGATGCAGTTTAAGATTTCCTGGGATGGGCCATATGGGCTTAAAAATATATCACGATATTTCTGGTATTTATTGCGATAACGATATCAATGACAATAATTTAGGGAATCCTGTTTCTTTAGAGAAAAGTATTATCTTTCCTATTTTTACCCAAAATTGGGTGTTGTGAGCATTATTGAGTACACACGTAATGTAATGAGTGTTTAATTCACACTGGAAGCCAGAGGGCGCCCTCGTGCAGAAACTCCACACATGCATCGCAGAAGTAATTGCACTGACCACGCTCCAGGAAATCCCTAATATGGACAAAGGTATCCAGTTATCGCAGAATAAAACACAGATAGAGGATTTTTAACTGATGAAACTTGAAGACAATAAACATATGATTGCACAAAATATATGGTTTATCTGTGTGCTTCAAGCCATCTTGGGCATTTTTTATAAGGAAAGTATATTTATAATGCAATGCTTTATCGCTGTATATAAAACTATCACTCTGTAATATGAAACCACGTCTGGTCACAAAAAGAAATTGTTTCAAACACTCGACTATGTTATTAAGTTAATTTGAAGAAAAGGCATGTGAATAAATGATATGTTTGTTGGACAACAGGTTTGTAAACAGGCTCATACACATGCAAACTATTGCACATGTGCTACTGTACTACATTTATTCAAGGCTCAGAGCGATTTTTTGTGACCAAGCCAGTTCCAGATTGTAGAAGGAGCTCCTCATTTAATGATAAACTCCTCCTCAATTTCACGTCCGCCTTCTTCCACACAGTCGCACACAGAAATATGTCAACAACTAGACTTTATCGTTATTATCCCGGGAAGACTAATTCTTATCGGGGGAGAATTTTTCTGTGTCTGTGGGCAGCCCTATGTAAGACATGATAAGAATCCCTAATCAAGTTAAAATTTGCTTCTGTAAAACGAACTTGCAAAAAATCCTAATTTATCGTATCGTCTCTTAAATTAAGACCTAAGATAAGAAATATTCTGTAATACGCCCCCTGATCCGCATCTCCACAGCTGAACCTCACTAATCAGGGTCGGTTCACATCCTAGAGTTTTTATTAGCAGATGTTTGGTCACTAAACGATGCACGGATTAAATCTGTGCAGTGCATGCTCAGGTAAACACGGTAAAGCACCGCCACTTCATTCATTCTCTCCTTTTTAACCGATGTGTGCTTGTTTGGTATGGTAGTGAATGTGTTGATTTGGCGAATGCTCACTGCTTGTGAAGTGTTGTGGAGTGTTTCAGTGTGCTGTTGTTGGTGTGGTAACCTCTCCTCCTCTGCCTTGCTTTTGAAGGCGTACCTCGTCCAAGAGGAGCGAGATAGACTGAGGTTAGAGTGTATTGATCTAGAAGACAGGGTAAATGTCTTTATTTTCTTCTGCTCTCACCCTTTGTTGTTTTTGCATCCAGAATTTGCTGTCTGCTTGATAACATCCCTAATAAGTGTGCAGGGCCTTTAACGCTGTAACCCTGTAGACTAATCCTCACTCCTCCCTGTGTGACGTGGCCCTATGGTTCCTATGGCAACAGTAGACGCCACCATGGGCCAATCAGCTGACTGCAGCGCTTGATATCTGTACACACTGATAGATCCATCCTGCAGCAAAACTACCCAGAGTTCAGTGCGCAGGAGCTCGTGTCTGAACGTGACCGCAGCTTCGCTTGAGTGTAGAGTCAGACCGCCGCATGATGCACCTATGAAATTGATTGATTTGTTATTGAGTATATACGTATGAGTTTAATACATTCATCTGTACGTCTGCTTTAAACATTTAGATCCATTTAGAGAATAAGACATAATTAATTTCACTTACTAGCAAGTGAATATTGAAGTGTTTTTTTTTGTTAAATAGTTCAGCCAGAAATGAACATGTGTTGCAAATATGTTCACCCTCAGTTCATCTGAGATCAGGATGAATGTGTTTCTTCATCAGGTTTGTAGAAATGTAGCATTGCATCAGTGTCTCAGCAATGGATGCTCTGCAGTGAATGGGTGCCATCAGAATGAGAGTCCAAACAGCTGATAAAAACATCACAATAATCCACAAGTAATCCACAGCACTCCAGTCCATCAGTTAACATCTGGAGAAGACAAAATCTTTTTCACACTGTGAAAAAAGGTTCTGTGCAGATTTCTCTCCTGATTCAGACCAGAACACTTTTTCACTGGAGGAAGAGTTATTATGGTCTCTCTCTCACTCACTCACTCACTCACTCACTCACTCACTCACTCACTCACTCGCACACACACACACTCATATACACATTCACTCTCACACACACATACGCGCTCACTCACTCTCACTCACTCACTCACTCACTCGCTCACTCGCACACACACACACACACACATACACACACACTCATATACACACACACACACACACACTCTCACTCTCTCTCTCACACACACACACTCACTCTCTCGCACACACACACAGTCTCTCTCTCACACTCTCTCTCACACTCTCTCTCACACTCTCTCACACTCTCACACACACACACACACACACACACACACACACACTCACTCACTCACTCGCGCACACACACACACACACACACACACTCACTCACACACACACACTGACTCTCTGTGCGTCTGTGCTGAAGGTGGCGGCGCTCCAGGAGGAGAAGAGCAGTCTTCTGGCTGAGAACCAGGTGCTGATGGAGCGGCTCAACCAGTCGGACTCCATCGGGGATCTGAACAGTCCAGCGGGACGCAGACACCTGCAGCTTCAGACGCAGCTGGAGCAGCTGCAGGAGGAGACCTTCAGGTGAGGAGCGCAGACCACGCTGGGGGTCAGAGGTCACCGTGCTGAGGGCTGATCCGAGACCAGCCGCTTTACACTCACAACCAGCTCGTGATGCGTTTCATTAGCATAAGAGTAGGACTGTGTGTGTGTGTGTGTGTGTGTGTGTGTGTGTGTGTGTGTGTGTGTGTGAGCGA